GACATCCCGACTCCGCGCTCTTACGCGGAGGCGATAGAGGGTCCCTACTCCTCTCAGTGGCAGGCAGCTATGGACGCAGAGATGGCTTCCTGGAAGTCCACAGGCACCTACGTTGACGAGGTTCCCCCGCCTGGGGCGAACATCGTCAGTGGCATGTGGATTTTCAGGGTGAAGCGGCCGCCGGGTTCTCCGCCTGTCTTCAAGGCGCGTTACGTGGCTCGTGGCTTCAGTCAGCGGCAGGGAGTTGACTACTTTCAGACCTTCTCTCCCACCCCGAAGATGACCACTCTTCGGGTACTGCTGCACATAGCTGCTCACCGCGACTACGAGCTGCACTCTCTTGACTTCAGCACTGCTTTCTTGCAGGGCAGCCTGCACGAGGAGATCTGGCTGCGTCGCCCACCTGGCTTCACTGGGTCCTTTCCTCCTGGCACCCAGTGGAGCCTCCGGCGGCCAGTCTACGGTCTCCGCCAGGCACCGCGTGAGTGGCACGACACACTGAGGACTACACTTGCGGCTCTTGGGTTTGCTCCCTCTACTGCCGACCCGTCGCTGTTTCTGCGCACTGACACTTCTTTGCCGCCGTTCTACATCCTCGTGTACGTCGATGACTTGGTCTTCGCCACAGCTGACACTGCTGGACTCGCCCACGTGAAGTCCGAGCTGCAGAAGAGACACACGTGCACAGACCTGGGTGAACTGCACAGCTACCTTGGCTTGCAGATCACCCGGGACAGAGCACGCCGCACCATTACCCTGACTCAGTCACACATGGTGCAGCAGGTCCTTCAGCGCTTCGGCTTCACGTACTCCTCGCCTCAGGCCACTCCTCTGCCTACTCGCCACTCGCTCTCAGCTCTGCCTTCGGATGAGTCCGTAGAGTCGAGTGGCCCGTACCCAGAGCTTGTTGGCTGCCTCATGTACCTGATGACCTGCACACGACCTGACCTTGCATACCCTCTTAGCATTCTTGCACGCTATGTTGCTCCTGGGAGACACAGACCGGAGCACATGGCTGCAGCGAAGAGGGTGTTGCGCTACTTGTGCAGTACGTCGGGCATGGGGCTTGTGCTTGGAGGGCAGAGTCCAGTGGTCCTCACTGGGCACGCAGACGCTTCTTGGGCTGACGACCAGGCTACGCAGCGGTCGTCACAGGGTTACACCTTCAGCCTTGGTTCCGGCTCTGTTTCGTGGCGGGCTACCCGCTCGTCTTCTGTTCTCGGCTCCAGTTGTGAGGCTGAGATCTACGCCGGGGCCATGGCGGCACAGGAGCTTCGCTGGCTCACCTACCTGCTCACTGACCTCGGAGAGCCGCCTCGTTCTCCTCCAGTGCTGTACGTAGACAACAAGGCCATGCTGGCCTTGTGTCGAGAGCAGAGACTGGAGCACAGAACGAAGCACATTGCTCTCCGCTACTTCCTTGCTCGTGAGCTACAGCAGCGTGGTCAGCTACGGCTACGTGGCCTCTGAGGCCAACACTGCTGATATCTTCACCAAGGCACTTCCGCCTTGTGATCATCAGCGCTTCTGTACTCAGCTGGGTCTTGTGCCTACCTTGCCTCACTTGCTCACCCCTTGACCTTGCTTGTACTGTTGCATATATATATACACCTGCTCTTGCTTGTCTAGCCTTATATATATATGCAATCCTGCATGTGAACTGGCCTTGTGGCCTTGAACTTGTGCTCGGAATGTGTGGTGACTTTGTGATCCACCCTGAGCTTGTTTTGCTTTGCTTGACTGGTCTTGTGACCCCTTGTTCTCCCCCACTTTGCCTATGGGGGTGTGTCAGATTTATATGACATAGCTACTGTAGGCTATAGTGGGGTAGCACATATGGGGTACAGTTTTCTAGGGTTTGCTTTTGTACCCAACTTTCCTTTAGTCATTCCATTCCTCGTTTCTTCTCAATATGGAGCAAATCTATATAATTTTGGCGCGAGGAAAGCCACTTCGTCAAATGTCTTGAAGAGTGATGTGGTACAAGGTATTTGTGCTGACGAACGCTGTACAAAATCACAATGTACTCGCACTTAAGCGGATACTGTTCAGAATGCCACGCGTCAGCTGGTTCGGCCTACAATGTCGCCCCAAACTACACCCGAGTCGCCCCCGCACCAATCGATACCATTCCGAGCCATCTTCGCTCGATGTCACCGTCTAACTAGGGCTCCTCGATTAAATCCCGTCACTTTTTTTGTATCGTCATTCAGCTAATCACAGTCTCGATATTCGTTTACTTTGCGCACTCAGTACGTTTGTTCATAACAAATGCAATGTTTGAAATGACTAGTCGTGTGTTCTATTAGCAGGTTGGTCAAGACATGCACCCTTGACCAACCTTGGTACAATACTAAGCTGTATCAAGCTGTATCATTGTAACTAGCATGTAATCGGACGTTAATTTGCAAGGACATGTCTTGAACAGCTCGAACAAGTTTGTACCGCGCCCTCTAGGACATTCGTCTGTGGTCTGTGTCGGAGGTTTGGGAGCTCGTGTCAGACCTTAGGTCAAGCGTCGTTGACACGAAGTTGACTGCTCGTGAAGGCCCGAGTTGGCCACTGGGAAAAGAGGTGACGAAGAGTAAGTGGAGCTCGGAACCCAAAGAGGAGGCCTCGTCACTCTGACCTGAGGTCTGACACGAGCCCGAATTTGCCTTCAACTATGAAGTATGTACAGGAACTGTAATTGCGGGGCTAGGTCTGGTCGGTGCCTCTACAGCTCAGGTCAGAATTCGGAAGCTCAGCCCTGGTTCTGATCTCAGACCAATCAGCAGCAATGATGTAGAGAGCTTTGCTCCTCCTGTCCCAGACCGCAAGAACGAAGTGCACACTGGCAGCGCCACCCGCGTCAAACGAAAAGAGTTTGCCCTGGAGAACGTGCAAACACGACGCTTTACGCGGAATGCCCGTTGCAAGAAAGCTGGCACTGGCCAGCTGGTTGGATTTTGTGTGTTTGTGTACTTCATAAAAGAATGGAGAGGTTTCAACCCAGAAAACAATGTATTTAAAGCCCAAGACCTGAATTGCTCAACGCAAGTCAACGCGGGGCAAAACTGTGGGCTGCGGGAGGCAAACTGTGCACAGTTTGCCTTCCTTTTTTGTAATTCGAGTCTTGGGCTTTAAGTTTTTTAGTTCCCGTGTTGTCTGTGGCCAGCCATTCCACCGGCCATTCCACAATGGGGATGTACTGGTCCTGGAATGAGATTGTGTGTACTAGACTGTACAGCCACGTCGATGTTGAGGTTCTCTCTACAGTACCACAAGTTCAGAAGAACGTCAAGGAGGCGGCGCTTCCCGCCCGCACACGTACGTTGAAGTCGATGCCATCCACAACAAAACCAACGGCCAGCAGCACGAGAAATCAACACAGCCTGGCCTGTCCAACGGCTGCCAGCGCGATTCGTCGCATGCGGTTCAATTTGTTTCCTCTGGCTCGGACAGGCTTCGATTTTTACCGCTCCAGAACGAATGAAAACGAAACAGACCGTGCTACATATAGAACGAACGCTCTTCTGCATCTGCAACAACCAATCGCACAACCACCTCCAATCAGCCCAGCATCCCCTCTTTGTGCTTGCTCCCTCCCCTCCCCACGTTCCAAGTTCCAAGCTTTTCGTATCGCTCCTCCTTCCAACGGATTGGCCTCCCTCATTATCCCAACGGATTTTCCCCGCAGTAACTTTACACCAATTTCTTCCTCCCCTAGTAGCTCTACCGCAAGCAGCATATCGCTTCCTTACCAACAACCCCTTCCATGGAAAGCTCTACAACTGCTGGATTCTAACAGAATGATTAGCTCTGTCCAGCGAACCGTCATGACCGACGTTCACCACCACAGCGAGCATTATCGTGATAGAGACGCGCCGCCGCCAGTTGCGCCGCCGGCAGGCACGTTCCTCCTTAAAAATCCACTGCCAGATTTATGTAGCGCGAATGGAAATACCGCGATTAGCGCAAACCACATCGGGGGAGCGGGTTCTGTGGCGGTTCCCGCGGAGTTTGTCTGTCCGCTCTCCCTCCAAATCATGGCCGATCCTGTCGCGACGTCATCGGGGTACGCGTTTGAGTGGGAAGCGATACAGGACTGGTTCGATAGCGGTGAGCGTGACTGTCCGGTAGATGCGCGGCCGCTCGATCACCTTCGAGTAACTTCGCTTCTTCCCGCGCTACGAGATCGAATCGCCGATTGGTGCGAGGCGTGGGGTATACAGCCCGGAGCGCGCAGCCCTGTCGTGGCCACCGATGGAGCCGACATCGGCGGTTACCCTAAAGCTATCCTTTCGCACAACAGCAACGAGAGTACGAGTGCAACTGTTAATCAGCAGCAGCTGCAGCAGCAGGAGTACAACTCTCCAAGGCACACTTCTCCGAATCATAAGCAGAATCGGGCCCCAAATCCGCTTCAGAACCCGCAACCGCAATCGCAGCCGCAGCAGAAGCCGCAGCCGCCGCTGCAGCCTCCAAACCGCCCTATTCTTCGATCGCACTCGCAGGCTTCTGCCTTTTCCGCCGGCGGCCCTTTTCCGCTTCCGCTTTCCCTTCCCGGCCTTGGTCCCGCGCGCCAAGGATCGATTCGAACTGACGACCCCGCCCTTTCCTCTCGCCTAAACGTGCCGCCACACAGTGGCTCGGCTGCAGTAGCGGCATCGGCGCCGGGATCCTCGCTCTACGTTCCCAGCGATTCCTCGTCTTCCGGCTCGAACCGCGACGGCATCGGCGAGTGCGACTCGCCTACGTGGCTCATCGCGTCGCACCATCGGTCGCGATCGGTTGCGGATATCACGCGCTTCGCCTCTCCGCCAATTCTGCTCCTCTCCCCTCCTGAGCATCGCGGCTCCGGGAAAAGCACAAACGGACGCGATCGCGATAGCCCCTCGGGCGCTCCTGGCGCCGGCGTCACCAGTGATGGTGGCGCCGACGGCGGCGGCGGCGGCGGCGGCGGAGGAAGAGGAGGAGCCGGAGGAGGCTGTGGTGGCGGGAGTGTGGGCGCGCGGGATATGCAGAAGCAGCGGCTGCGAGTCGCGCTGGACCGAATTCTGGGGGACGACGACGAGAGCGAAGATGGCGGCGTGCGGGCGAGCTCGGTCGGAGCGGGAAACGCTGTTCCCGCGGCGGAGGCGTTTCGTGCGCAAGGACAGGGCCTCGGGCGCGTACAGAGGCAAGGGTCTATCGGCAACGGCGCAGATAGCAGGGGCCGTAGCAGGCAGCAGCAGCAGCAGCCGCAGCAGCAGCACCAGCAAGGGAACATCGCAGCTCGTGGGAACGCAGGGGGGTTGACTAGCGGTAGAGGCTTGGGCGGAGGCGGGGGAGGGACCGGCGGAAGTGGAGGCGGCGGCGGCGGCGGCGGCGGCGGCGGTGGCGGCCGGGGGGGAGTTATGCGCAGCACGAGTGCGTGCTTGGAGGATATGAGCAGGTATGACAGCGAAGGGGGGGTAGAGGGAAATGCGCAGGGGAGGAAAACAGGCGGCGCGACGGTGAGGATGAGAAAGGGAGGCGGCCCGACGCTCAATAGCGAACGGCTGAGTTCCGCTGTAAGGGGGATGCAGAGCAGCGGGGATCAACGGCGGTGGATGCAGCAGCAGCTGCAGTCGCAGCAGGGCTTGAGTTCTGGCAGCGGGGGTTCTTGTAACGAGAGGAGGAATCCCAACGCGCGGCAGCAGCAGCAGCAGCCGCAGCCGCAGCAGCAGCAGCACAGCAGAAGCAGCAGCGTCAGCACCAGCGGTTCTAACAACGGTAACGGTGGTGGTCCCCCCTCGAGTGGTTCACTCCCGCGGTCCCAATCCGTTTGCCTTAATAACGGTGGGAACAGTAACTACAGTAAAAGCAATAACATGAGCAGTAACGGTGTTAACGTGGGATGCAAAATTAGCTGTAGCAGCAGCAGCAGCAATGGTGCGCACCAGTCTCCCAGCAAGTGGCGACACCGAAGCAACAGTGTGAGTGGTGCAATAACGGGTACGTATCTGACGGCGGAAGAGGAGGAAGCGGAAAGCGCGGGAGCGGAAAGGGAGCTTTATGGTCCCGAGGAAGGAGACGATTATGCTGCAGTAACGACAGCCGCACGAGGGGGTGAAGGCGCCAGGGCAACAATAGGCTGGGAAGGTTTACCTGGTACAGGTACGACTGGCGCGGGCGCATCTGGCGCAGCAGCAGCAGCAGGGGCAGTGCGAGTCCGCCCCGCTGCGAATGCTGGAGGGGGCGGCAGGGGGACAAGCGGAGGCGGTGGCGGAAGGAAGAGCGGCGGCCTCCGCCGGGCCTCCTCTCTGCACTCCAGCGTGATGGGGGGGGCGGGAGGGGGAGGGGGAGGGGGAAGTGGAGGCGCGGGGGAGGCGGATAAGCTACCTGGGCGCGCGCATTCACAGCCCCGCGGGGGGGAGTTTCAAGAAATGCTGGTGGGCCTGAGAGAGAGTGGGGAAGGGGGGAACGAGGAAGGCTCTATGGGAGGAGGATGGAGGGACCTTGGGGGGGACAGAGGAGTAGGAGGAGCAGGAGGAAACACGAAAGGAGAGAGTTTTCACGGCATGGGTTCTGGCTTTGGGATGCAGCGGCAGGTGGAGGACGGAGAGGAGGAAAGAGAGGAGCTATATGAGGACGAGGAGGAAGAGCTACAGTGGGAGCCGCAGCAGCGACACCAGCCGCAGCAGCAGCAGCAGCAGCAGCAGCAGCAATGCCGCATTCCCAGGTCTGTTTCAAGTGGTGCTGCGCTCACTCACCCGCTCTACTCCTCCTCCCCCTCCTCCTCCTCCACCTGCTCTCCTCTCAGAGGGAGAAAGAGCCCTTCTGTTGACATGTCACCCTCGCTCTCGCCTCCCCGCTCCTCATCTTCTTCCTCTCAGATTCCCCTTGTGCAGCAGCAGCAGCAGCAGCGCCAGCAGCAGCAACCTTCGCGGTTTCACCAGATACATCGGTCAAAATCAGTGCAATCGGACTGGGGCGCTGTGGGTGACGGAGGACCGGCCGACCCACAGTCCCGGCCTCAATCGCAGGTTCGGCGGCCGAGGACGCCACCAGGTCCGGAAGGTAGGGCGGTTGACAAGCTGGGCCAGTTCCAAAACACTGTACTTCGGCCCGGGAAACAAGGCTCGGGGATCATAGCAGGCTCGGGAGCGGCTGTGACCTCGGCAGTAACAGGAAGGACGGGGCAAGGCGAAGGACAAGGGCCAAGGCAAGGGAAGGGACAGGGACAGGGACCACAACAGGGGCTGCATAGAACATTCTCTGTGCCTGTGCGCGCTGAATCAGAGGGTGCAGGCGCAGGGGGGAGAGGGGCAGGGGGGGCAGGAGGGGCAGGAGGGGCAGGAGGCAGCGTGGGGCTGTTGGCACGGCCTGGGACCGCCTCTTCTGGCACCACAACTAGTCTGAGGGGCGAAGGGGGCGCGGTGGGGAGTGTGGTGAGAGCAGGTGCAGGTTTGATGAGGGAAGGGAGTGGTGGGGAGAAAGGGCGGGTGGGTCAGGGGGGGAGAGGAGGAGGGGGAGGAGGGAGTGGAGGGAGGATGGTGAGGTTGGGGAGTGGGGACGAGGGAAGTGAGTTGTCTGATTCTTCTGGCCAGTGGAGGGTCGGAGGGGGGACGGGGGGAGGTGGAGGGGGGTCCGGACCTCTGCCGTTGGTCCCTGGGCGGAAGCAGCAGCAACAGCAGCAGCCGCAGCAGCGGGCACAGGGGCAGCAGCTGCAGCGAGGCCTTAGCCCTAAAAAGCAGCAGCAGCAGCAGCAGCAGCAGCCGGTGCAGCAGCAGCTGACGCAGCAGCAGGTGGAAGCAGCAGCAGAGCAAGGCTATGACTACGACCCTACAGACGTGTGGTCCCTGCTCGCGCACATGTCCAAGGGACCCATCTCGCACCGCCGCAGCGCCGCTGCTGACCTCCGCGCGCTGCTCAAGGGCAGCGCGCACACCAAGGCAGAGTTCCTCGCAACAGGGGCTGTGGACTTCCTAGTGGACGCGCTGCAGCAAGCTGACGACGGGAAGGTGCGCGAGCACGCGGTTACCGCGCTGTTCAACGTGGCGTTACACTCGGGGGCAACGCCGGTGCTGGTGGCGTGCGGGGGAATCGAGGCAGTGGTGGGGGTGCTGAGAAGAGGCGGGTCCATGGGCACGCGGGAAAACGCCGCTGCGACGCTCTTCAACCTGTCGATTGCTGATGGCACAGCGGATAAGGTGCGTGCAGCAGGCGCGGTGCCTCTGCTGGTAGACCTCCTTCGCACGGGCAGCACGAGAGGGAGGAAGGATGCAGCACTGGTGCTGTTTAACCTGTCAAGGGATGAGGATGGGGCTAAGGAGCTGGTGACAGCAGGAGCAGTGGAGGTTCTGGTAGACCTGCTGACGTTTCGAGAGGTGGGGCTGGTGGAAAAGGTGATGGCGGTGACAGCGAATGTCTGCCGGAGAGAGGAGGGGTGCAAGCGGCTGCTGGCAGTGGGGCAACCGCGCTGCTGCGGCGGTGCCAGCGGCGGTGGAGGCGGTGTGTGCGGCAATGGGAGCAGCAGCAGCGACAACCCGCAGTGCCATGGAGTTGACGCTATTTCAGCACTGGTGGAGCTTGTAGAGGAGGATGAGTCGCAGCGCACACGGGAGGATGCAGTGATGACTCTGCTCATGCTCATGCACACGAGTCAGGATCTCGACGCACAGAACCACCCCACAGGGCACTGCCACAGCAGCTGCCGGAACAGCAGCGAAAGCAGCGACAGCAGCAACAGCAACAGCAGCAGCAACAGCAGCAGTAACGCTGGGAGTTGCAGCTGCAGTGGTAGTATGAGTGCGAGCTGTGCTGCTAGGATGGTAGAAGAAGGGGTGATAGGGGCATTGCAGCAAGCAATGGACGGGCCAGCTTTCTCTGCTCGTGCATGTGTCAAGGCACGTGCTCTTCTTGACATCCTCACAGGCTCGCTTGGCAAACCACCCTGCCTCTCTCCTTCCTCCTCACTCAATCCCACTATGGTTATCGGACGATAGGAATGCAGTGAGTAAATAATTTGAATTTCTCTAGTTTGTTTTCCTAGAGACAACATTGTTTTTGCATGCTGAAGTGCTCTCTGTTTGTGGTACACGTGCATTGAAATTGAGAAGGAAGATTGCACCAGTGGGGCAAAGTAGAGAGATGCATTATTGCATTATGGACCAAGCTAACAATCTTGCAATGCTGGCATTGTGGTTGGTGATATCCCCAACGGATAGGGCCTATCTGTCCTTATACAGTTGTTACGGTGTGTGAGCAATGTAATGAGTGACTGAGTAGTGCACTAGCGGGTCAAGAATTATACATTTGCGGGATGGGGTGCGGTGCGGAGTTGGGAAGAAATATACGTTCCACTCTTGCAGCATGTCGCAATGTTGACGAGCCGCATTTCTGGTGTCAATGCAATCCACTCCCATCCCATCCCATCCCATTTTGTCCCCCGTCTCGTCGCGTCAGCGGCGCCACTCCCAAAAACCCGTTCCAACGGTCGAACGGCATCATGGTCATTCATTTCACTGCGCAAAAGCATCCTTGCTCCAGCGGAGGGGTAGTGGTTTTCCGACAAGATGAGGAATTTCGGAGGCCAAATTGGCAGTGGTTTCCAGATTAGACCACTCATTCATGTTACTTTCGAGATTAGAAGTAAGACGCAGGCTCACTCTCTTGTCGGAAGCTCGACAACTCGCACGATCGTGGAAACTATGGGATGGAAACTAAGCCAGTCGTATTCCAAACAACAGAGACAATCCATACAAATCCTAAGCTACTGACGTAAGACACGATCACGTTTCAAGGAAGTGTAACCTTGAGATCGCTTATAACAGACCCTCAAAACAGGCTCCCACGCTGATTGGGCCCATGAAAACAGGAACTCCGATCGTGTAACAACTCTGATCACAAAAGTGATCTACCGGCAGTCCAAACCCCCCACATCCATGTAGTAAAGCATCCTAATTACCACAGGCGTTAAGCCACTAGCAAGCCGTTGGCTTCGTTGATGGGTGGTAGCGAGTGGCCGTCGAACGCGGTGTAGAGGCAGTCGGCGGACATGACGCTGGACGTGCGGTAGTCCTTCACCTCGCCGTCCAGGTACCCTCGGCCCTCCACGCCGTCCGCCGCGAACGACCGCCGTAGCAGCACCGACAGCGACGTGTACTCCAACGCGCGTTTCCGCCGGCCCTCGCGGTACGTCTGCCCCATGATGCCGTGCATGGCGGGGGTGCGCTCCACGTTGGCGAAGTGCAGGTTGATGTGCGTCTGCGCGTCCGCGTCCGTCTGCAGCAGCGGGTGCGCGGGCCGCAGCTTCACGTCCAGCTTGATCAGCCCGTCCACCTCCAGCGAGTACGCGTCCACGTCGAAGAACCCGCCGCCCTGCTTCTCGTACCCCGTGAACGCCAGCGTCAGCCCGCCGGGCAGCGCGCACTTGCTGCCCACGGAGAGCAGCGGCAGCGCCTTGCCATCGAACTCCATCTCCCCCATGTACCCCACGCCGCGCGCCATCTCCTTGCCGTCGCGCGCCGCCATGCGGAACGAGTGCTTCACGCCCGCCGCGTCGATCCACATAATGCCCAGCTCCTTGATCCACGTGCGCACCGCCTTGCCGCCCTTCAGGATCGACGCGCCGATCGTGCGGTCGTCGTAGTACCCGCGCATGCGCATGTTGACGTGGATTCGCGCGTCCGTCACGAGGCAGAAGCTCTGGTCGGGCAGCCCGTTGAAGTCGAAAGACGTGCCCTCCGCGCCCGTGAAGTGCGGGTCGTTGAGCGACGACGGGCACGGCCGCGCCACGCGGGTCACGTTCCACAGGATGCCCTCGGGAATGCACGTGGGAGGAGCCGCTAGCGGCGGGTAGATGTAGCACACGCCGCAGTTGGCGCAATCCGCTCGTCTGTTCGGAGTCACAAGGGGGATGAGAGAGACCAGGATTGGTTGCCATCCAACTGTCTCCGATACAAAGTGATCCGATCGTGGCGTCATATTGCGAGTTCTTAGCATTCACGTTGATCGGCTCGTGCCGTGATTTTCCGAATTAATCGACGGGTGGTGGTGGAAAGGAAACTTACGGTTGGTAGAATTGCCAGTAGGTGCACGTGCGGCGGCTGATGCACTTGTTGCAGCACGCGGGCAGGCTCATGCCGTCGTAGCAGTACAGGCGGCTCGTGCTGATGGCGTTGTTGTACTCTGGCGGACACGTCGCATTCTGCAGAAACGGGGGGAGCGAGTGGCGCGAGTACACGCCGGCGTTGCCCGAGTTGCACGCAGTGGAGCACGTGATGTTCTCAGCCTTTACGCACGGATCGCCGTTGGGGTTGTTGCTGCCCGTCCCTCCGGTTGTGGAGGTGCTCGTCGAACCTTGGCCGTTGCCGTTCTGCGCGAAAGCATGAGACGCCACTGCCAGCACCAGAATGATCGCGAGCAGCACTCTGAATCTCGTCATGACGGGTGATGTGATCAACGCACAAAGATGAGCTGAAAAAAGGTCGACGATCAAAGGAAGGACGCGCTTTTAAAAGAGGGACGGCTGGCTGGTAGTCAGTGATATGAAAAGTGCGAGCCGCAGATGATATTCCAGCAGGAAGAGACCAGGTGTGCTGCTTACAGCCTGGTGGGAGCTACTACTGGCACACGATTTACGAGATGTGGAAACGAGTGATGAGATGAGAAGCAAGTGTGTCGAACGAGTTTATGTATGGAATTCATGTTCTAGCAACATGTCCTGGTCAGTAGCGACTCCCGTTGGGTCTTGCGACCTCTGTGAGGTCAAGAGAAACTGGCGTAAACAACGCCAGCGACGAAACGACGAGACATTGCCAGACGAAAAGACAACTGTCGAGTATGGGTGATCCGAGGACGACTGACGAAGGACGGGTGAGAGGAAAGTGTCAGACCTCACTAAACAACCTGACACCAGAAAAACTGGCCCTAATTCTCCTTTGTCTTGGCGCTATGGTACTGCCAACATGGCATTTCAAGAATGGTCGGGGGGGACCACTCTCACAAAGAACTGTCGGGCACACTCACAAGAGCTTTTCCTCTGTCCGTGAACGTGTGAAAGCAGGTTTCGCACGGGATGCAGAAAAATAGACTCACCAGCCCATACTTCTACGTGAATTATGGTGAAAGTAGAGCCGTAATTTATGGGAACATCCATCGTAATATCCATTGTGGCACGCTCTCACCGTCGAAATCGCCCCTTAGCAGCGCCCCGACGCCACCAGGCAGCGCGATCTAGCCTCAGCAGCGCCAGGACGCCTCAGGCAGCGCGAAATCGCCCCTTAGCAGCGCCCCGACGCCACCAGGCAGCGCGATCTAGCCTCCGCAGCGCCAGGACGCCTTAGGCATCGCGATATCGCCCGTAGAAGCACGACCCGCCCTTAGCAGTGTGAAGTCCGCCCTTCGCAGTGTGAAATCCGCCCTTAGAAGTGTGAAATCCGCCCTCAGCGGCGTGAAATCTGCCCATAGCAGCGTTAAATCCGACCCAACAGCGCGTAGCAGCGCAAAACCCGCCAGTGCCCCTCGCAAGCGCTTGTCGCCATGAACAACAACCCCGAACCCCGTGACCGAGGCCGCTCGGCGCCGCCCTGGGGAGACCCGAGGCGAACAGGGGAACTCCAGGGAGGCGGGGTGGATTGGACAGCAACCAGGGGAGGGAAGTGCCCGTCGGAGTCTGGCCCCAAGAGACTCAGGGAGACGACACTATACTCGCAACACCCACGTCTCCGTCTCCTACACCACAGTCACGAGCCTTTCCTCTTAGGCACGCCCAGCAAACGCCAACGGTGCGGAACACTTTCGACGGAGGCGAGGACGGAGGCACACACTGAAGACACTCCGGGCAGCCCCGTGGCCGGCAGCAAAAATTGCCCCAATCAAGGCGGAGCGGTCACAGAAGAGGGCGAACATGTCCAAGGGGAGCTTAGGCAGAGCATCGCCCCTGGTGCGGCAATGGCAGCATGGGAAGCACACCGCCGGCGTTTGCAGGAGACACACGACAGGCGTCGACATGCCCTCGGCACTCAGTTCGCAGGCCCTGCCCTCCCCGAACGCGGCATCCCGACACCGCGCGGCCCACGTTTGGCCCAACGGCAGGAACGGAGGCGCACGCCCGGAGCCCTCAGCCGCAGACGCCGACGAAAGGGCAGCGTGGGCGGCGAGACGAGATGAGACATGAACCGCGAAGAAGGGGGGAGCAGGGGAGCCAAGCGGGGAGCCAGCCCCGGCCACCGGCAAGGAGCCAGCAGAACTCCCGGCGGGGAGGGCTCCAGTCGTCACAATCGGGGGGGCAGGAGTTGCAGACGGGGTGCCAGCAGGAGCTGCAGGCGGGGGGGCAGCAGGAGCTGGCCGGAGGGCAACAGGCGTTGGAGGCGGAGATGGAGGTGGAGCAGGGGGCTGGGGAGCAGCAGGAGTTGCAGGCTGGGGGGCAGCAGAAGCTACAAGCTAGGGGGCAGCAGGAGCTGCCGGATAGGGGGCAGCAGAACCTGCGGACGGAGGGGCAGCAGGAGCTGCAGGCCGGGGAGCAGCAGGAGCTGCAGGCTGGGGGGCAGCAGGAGCTGCAGGCCGGGGAGCAGCAGAAGCTGCAGGCTAGGGGGCAGCAGGAGCTGGCCGGAGGGCAACAGGTGTTGGAGGCGGAGATGGAGGTGGAGCAGGGGGCTGGGGAGCAGCAGGAGTTGCAGGCTGGGGGGCAGCAGGAGTTGCAGGCTGGGGGGTAGCAGGAGCTGCAGGCGGGGGGGCAGCAGGAGCTACAGGCGGGGGGACAGTAGGAGCTGCAGACGAGGGGACAGCAAGGGCTGCAGGCGGGAGGACAGCAGGAGCTGCGGGAGTTGGAGGTGGAGATGGAGGAGCCACAAGAGGAGGCGCGAGGGGAGCTGTCGGTAGGCCAGCAGGAGGGGAGTCAAACAGGGAATCAACCCCAGTCGCATGCAGGGCGGCGGCAAGGGTGTCATGAGGGGAAACAGCCCGTGCCTGGAAGCGTACAACAGGGGTTGCCGATGAGTGCGTCGCAGGAGTTGCAGGCGCAGGATCAGCATGGGGTCACTAGCCCGGGCGGCACAGGCCAAGCGGAAAGGCCGCGAGCACGGCGCCGAAGGGGGCGACGACAGGGAGGGCAGAGGGCTGGGGGCCAGCCAGGGGTGACCGGAGCAGCTCAGGGAGAGCAGCAGCCAGGGGGCCAGCCGGGGGTGACCGGAGCAGCTCAGGGAGAGCAGCAGCCAGGGGGCCAGCCGGGGGTGACCGGAGCAGCTCAGGGAGAGCAGCAGCCAGGGGGCCAGCCGGGGGTGACTGGAGCAGCTCAGGGAGAGCAGCAGCCAGGGGGCCAGCCGGGGGTGACCGGAGCAGCTCAGGGAGAGCAGCAGCCAGGGGGCCAGCCGGGGGTGACCGGAGCAGCTCAGGGAGAGCAGCAGCCAGGGGGCCAGAGGGGGGTGACCGGAGCAGCTCCGGGAGAGCAGCAGCCAGGGGGCCAGCCGGGGGTGACTGGAGCAGCTCAGGGAGAGCAGCAGCCAGGGGGCCAGCCAGGGGTGACCGGAGCAGCTCAGGGAGAGCAGCAGCCAGGGGGCCAGAGGGGGGTGACCGGAGCAGCTCCGGGAGAGCAGCAGCCAGGGGGCCAGCCGGGGGTGACCGGAGCAGCTCAGGGAGAGCAGCAGCCAGGGGGCCAGCCGGGGGTGACCGGAGCAGCTCATGGAGAGCAGCAGCCAGGGGGCCAGCCGGGGGTGACCGGAGCACCCCAGGGAGCGCGGCAGCCAGGAGGGCAGCCGAGGGTGACCGGAGCACCCCGCAGAGAACAGCAGCCAGGGGGGCAGCCGGGGGTGACCGGAGATCCCCAGGGAGCGCAGCAGCCAGGAGGCCAGGGGGGGGTGGTTGGAGCACTCCAGAGAGAGCGGCAGCCAGGGGGGCAGCTGGGGGTGACCGGAGCACCCCAGGGAGCACAGCAGTCAGGGGGGCAGCCGGGGGCGACTGGAGCACCCCAGGGAGCACAGCAGCCAGGAGGGCAGCCGGGGGCGACCCGAGCACCTCAGGGAGAGCAGCAGCCTGGAGGGCAGCCGGGGGTGACTGGAGCACCCCAGAGAGAGCGGCAGCCAGGGGGCCTGCCGGGGGTGACCGGAGCACCCCTGGGAGCCCAGCAGCCAGGGGGCCTGCCGGGGGTGACCAGAGCACCCCTGGGAGCCCAGCAGCCAGGGGGCCAGCCAGGGGCGACTGGAGCACCTCAGAGAGAGCAGCAGCCTGGAGGGAAGCCGGGGGTGACCGGGACACCCCAGGAAGAGCAGCAGCCAGGGGGGCAGGCGGGGGTGACCGGAGCTCCCCAGGGAGCGCAGCAGCCAGGGGGGCAGCCGGGGGTGATCGGAGCACCCCAGGGAGAGCAGCAGCTAGGGAGGCAGCCGGGGGCGACAGGAACACCCCAGAGAGCGCAGCAGTCAGGAGGGCAGTCGTTGGTTGACCAGGAGCAGCATTTGGAGGAGTGGATCCGACTTTTGGATTTTGATACGCCCATGGCGACTGCGGAGGAGTCAGAGGCGGACGGGGAGCCTCAGAGGGAAGGGCAACCGAAGCCACTATGGACGATGGATGTGGAGATGGCGGACGAGCCATGCATCGAAGAGCTGCCGAGCGGAGGGCAGGAGCAGCTGCAGAGCGGAGGGCAGCAGCAGCTGCAGAGCGGAGGGCAGCAGCTGCTGCAGAGCGGAGGGCAGCAGGAGCTGCAGAGCGGAGGGCAGGAGCAGCTGCAGAGCGGAGGGCAGGAACAGCTGCAGAGCGGAGGGCAGCAGCAGCTGCAGAGCAGAGGGCAGCAGCAGTTGCAGATCGGAGGGCTGCAGGAGCTGCAGAGTGGTGGGCATCAGCAGCTGCCGGGCGGGGGGCAGCAGCAGCTACAGAGCAGAGGGCAGGAGCAGCTGCAGAGCGGAGGGCAGCAGCAGTTGCAGAGCAGAGGGCCGCAGGAGCTGCAGAGCAGAGGGCAGCAGAAGTTGCAGATCGGAGGGCAGCAGGAGCCGCAAAGCAGAGGGCAGCGGGAGTTGCAGAGCCGGGGGCAGCAGCAGATGCAGAGCGGAGGGCAGCAGGAGCCGCAGGGCGGAGGGCAGCAGCGGCAGCAGAGCGGGGGGGAGCAGCAGCGGGAGAGTGGAGTGCAGCAGCGGATGCTGAGTAGAGGACAGCAGAGCAGGGGGGTGTCGTCGGCGGGTTCGTTTGGAGGGGAGATCCCAGACCATACCCTGACACCCCCGCCTCGCATCCTGTGCGAAACCTGCTTTCGCACGTTCACGGACAGAGGAAAAGCTACACGCCACATGTCGGTCTGCAAGGCGGCGGACGCACAGCGCCGGGCTCAGGCTCTTGGGTTAACCCGCGACGTCACAGATGACTCGGATGGTGAACCTATGCCACCAAGGGATATCGATGAGGACGTGTGGGCTGCAGTTCCTACATGGGACTGGGAGTCGTTCTTTGGGATTGAGTTGGTGCCAGGGAAACTCATGCGCCGCATCCCACAGCGCGCTAGATTGGGGGTGCTTGATGCACTCTCTTGCGTCCTCAAGCGGCTTCAATTGAGGGCAGCAGACGAGGCGGCATCCTTGGTCTTCCTGGCATTCCCTCCTCTGATTTTGGGGATTCCAACCGGGCAAGGCCAGGGGCACAGGGCGGCAATTAGGGAGCGGTTGGAGAAGTTTTGGGCCGGGGAGTGGCGGCAGTTGTTCGAGTCGGCGGTGGCGGCGATGCATCCAGCGGCTCGTCCATTGTTCTTCACCCCTTCCGAGCATGACCCCGATGCAGTGCGCCTGGCTCGCTGCCGCACAAGATGCAAAGTGGGAGAATGGAGTAGGGGCTTGGCGTGTCTTACAGCTGGTAGCGTGGCGCAGCCCTCCCAGAACATGGTGGACTCGCTACGCGCCAAACACCCATCTTGTGAGACCGCCATCCCGGAGTGGTTGCAGGAGGCGACAGTCGAGCCGTCTCTGATCCCCGAGCTTTCAGTGGAGGTACTCGGCCAGGCTATCCATTCAGCGGCTCGGGCGTCTGCACCAGGACCATCAGGGTGGGTGACGGAGCACCTGCGCGACACTTTTCTCTCTGAGCCTGCATACCTGCCTCACCTGCTAGAGGTCTTCACCCAGTGGACCAAGGGAGAGGTAGCGGAGCGCGTGCGACCCTGGCTGACTGCGTCCAACCTTGTGGGCCTGTCGAAGCCGAATGGTGACATTCGTCCGGTGGCTATAGGCGAGGTGCTCCCCCGCATTCTATCGAGGGCTCTATGCATCGTGCTCCGCCCGAAGATGTTGTCGCATTTCTCTTCGTGTAATCAGCTTGGAGTTGGGTCCAAATCGGGAGTGGAAGTCCTAGCACACGCCTTCCGTTCTGCCATCTCTACTCACCCGTCGTGGTGCGCGCTTCAAATTGACGTGGTGAATGCTTTCAACTCTTTCCATTGGCGGGAAATGTTTGAAGGCCTCCGTCAGTCGCCTTTCGAGGGATTGATTCCATTCTTGCGTGTCTTCTACGGCACCCCCAGCGATCTCTACCTCCGCGCAGGCCCCTTCGTTGAAGTTTTGGCTTCCGAGCGGGGCTCGAGGCAGGGGGACCCATTGGGGCCATTTCTGTTCGCCTTCACGCAGCAACGGGCTATGGAACCGACCAAGCAGGAATTTGCCGACCTCCTTTTCCTCAGCTACGCCGATGATACGTATATTCTTGGGCCCAGGGAGCGGGTGTTGGCAGCTTTTGGGGTATTGCGGGAACGATTGGACGGGCTTGGTCTGGAGGTGCAGCCGCATAAGTGCAAGCTATGGGAGCGAGGGGTGGATGAGGAGGGGGAGGAGAGGAGCGAGACACTCCCACCCGGCATGCAACAAACATGGACAGGACTCACTGTAGTTGGGGTTCCCATTGGGGAGGAGGATTGGGAGGTGGCTCGCCTGCGAGAACGGCTGACGCAGCTGCAGGCACCTGTACCTTGGCTTCCTTTGCTTGACCACCCACAGATTGCGTCTCATTTTTTGGCGATCGCGGTGTCAGCGCGTCCGATTTATCTCACGCGGACGATGCCTCCATGGCCAGAGGTTGTGGAAGCTTTCCGAGACTGGGACACGAGCCTTGAGGATTGTTTTGAGCAGCTGTTTCCGCCAGGTACCTGGGATCACGATTCAGAAAAGTCGCGGATGGCCCGCCTGCAGCTGCATCTGCCTGCCAGACTGGGGGGTTTTGGCATACGACCGGCAGCTGCCCTCAGCCCTCTGTCGTACGCATGCGGTTGGTGCCAGGCAGAGAGCGATGTGGCTCGCATGGGGGTGGCAGGAGAGGAGCGGATGTTTGAGGAATATTTCCGCACGCCCGAGGCTACGACCTTGCTGGATCCCTGGTTCGCGAGAGCAGTGGAGCTGCTTCCACAGCCGGTTCGGCAGGAGATACCGCCCCTTGCTTTGTGCACTCCTGACCCCCCATTGCTGCTTTTCCCTACGCAACACCGTCGCCTAGCGGTCGAGAGCCTGCAGTCTCTTCGGGGCATGGCCCAAGATGATGCCACCTTGACCCGTTTGACATCCCTTCAGGGCACGGGGGCATGATCGTGGGTCTCTGCCGTTCCGTCGCATGACGAGGCTACATTCACCGCACCAGAGTGGAGCATCTGTGTGGCCATGCGTCTAGGCCTCCCTATCGTGCAGCTGATAGTTGCCGGCAAATGCGCCTGTGGGGTCGAGTTCGCGGATCCTTCAGAACCCCATCATGCCCTTCGCTGCAAGCATCAGTATGCACCTTCTCGGGTTCACGACGCGGTTAAGTTTGTGGTGGCGAAAATAGCTAAAGCTGCGATGATAAGAGCGTAGAACAGGTTAGCTCAAGTCAACTGCTGCATCCCTGTTATGAATAGTAAAAGATGAAGTGTTAATGTGCACACCTGACAGTAGCAATCGAAGCATGCAGTACAGAGGCTAAAGAAGAATAGGCGGAATGACGCGAAGTGTCGTACGGTTACGGAGCATCTGGACCGTCAGGGCAGACAGCATCAGGCAGCAGCAGTGGCGAGGATTCTGCCCGAGAAGTTCGTAACCGTCTGGAGTCGCACGGTTGGGTTTCGCTGCAATAAGGGAATGTACCCCTTAGAGTAAATGGCTAGCTAGGTCGATTCGTATTCCACATTGTACTCTTATTTATATGTTTGTATTTGCATCTCAATAATTTTACATTCACTCTGATTTGAGGTCAAGGGCCCACCACTACCACTTAGTTGTGTGCAGAGCTGACGCGATCAGACTAAATAGTCTGATTAGTCTGACGAATCAGACCTACGACTTTCTGGCCACTTACTTTTCAGATTAAGTGATTTTTTAACCCTAAGTGCTTCAGACTAATAGTTTTTTCATCCCTGTTATTGTGTATAGTGTACCAGACTTATCAGTTAGTGAACCCTGTTGTAGCATAGTATCGATTCTGTGGGCCCTGAATGCGAGTTTATCGGGACGAAGGTTCCACGAAATTTCGTCCCGATACACCTCCGAGCTGCCAGTGGAGTGCCAAAACGTGTGAAAAGCAAACTGCACGAGGTGCGGGACACCCGAGTACACTTATCATTCTGTTGTTTCTCTCAGGTCCAATAGCCAATGTCTGAAAGAAACCATTGAAGCAGGAAACTAGTTCGAACCAATAAGCGGATCGCTCTCAAGAGTAACATGCAACGGAATGATGAACTAGAAACAGGATGGGGTACAAATATGCAAACCTAAAAGTTGTACCCCTTAGAAGGCACCTCACTACAGCCTAGACTACATATTATATTTTGACACACCCCCATAGGCTAAGTGAGGGGCATCAAAGCAAGCAGGGTGAACAAACGGTCACAAGACCAGTCAATACAAGAAGCAAAGCAAGCTCAGGGTGGATCTCAAGGACACCACACAAATTCCGAGCACAAACAAGCGGCCACAAGGCCAGTTCAAGAGAGCACAATATATATAAAGGCAATGACAAGCAGAACACGCAATAAGAGCAACGCTACAGCAACCGTGGGCCTACCTCAACAAGCCCTAGTTGCACACAGAACCTGTGGTGGTCACCAGGCGCCAAGGCCTTGGTGAAGACGTTGGCAGTGTTGGCCTCTGAGGCCACAAAGTCCAAGCGAGCCTGGCCGCGTCGCTGTAGCTCTCGCAGGAGAAAGTACCTCACGTCAATATGCTTCACTCTGCTCTCCAGTCGAGGCTCTCGACACAGGAGGATCATGGCCTTGTTGTCAGCGTACAAGGTCGGTGCAGAGCGAGGCCGCTCACCAAGGTCGGTGAGCAAGAAGGTCAACCAGCGAAGCTCCTGTGCCGCCATGGCACCAGCGTAGATCTCTACCTCTGCAATGGACGAAGCCACAGACGACGACCGTGTAGACCTCCACGACACAGCACCAGCACCTAGACTGAAGCAGTAACCCTGAGTTGAGCGCTGAGTCTCCACGTCGTCAGCGTAGGAAGAGTCGTCGTGACCAGTCAACTCAAGTGGATGTGTCCCTCCAAGCACAAGCCCCATGCCTGATGTAGTCGCCAGGTACTTCGCCACTCTCACAGCAGCTGTCCAGTGAACAGGACGGTGTCTCCCAGTCGCAACAAAGCGAGAGAGGACGCTGAGGGAAAGGCGAGGTCCGGCCGAGTACAAGTCATCAGGTACATGAGGCAGCCCACAAGCTCTGCGTAGGGACCACTAGACTCAAAGGGCTCGTCGGGAAAATGGCCAGTGAGTCGGTGGTCAACGGCAAGAGGAGCTGTGTGGTGGAGAACTGAAACTCATACCGCCAAAGGACCTGCTGCACAATGTGTGACTGAGTCAGTGTGATGGTGCGAGCGGCTCTGTCCATGATGATCTGCAGGCCAAGATAGCGCTGCAGTTCACCGAGGTCAGTGCACGTGTGTCTCTTTTTCAGTTCGGACTTCACCTCAGCCAGAGCTACCCTGTCTGCCGTAGCAAAGACCAAGTCGTCGACGTAGACAATTATAAAGAAAGGAGTGGAACCAGCGCGAACAAACAGTCGGCAGGGGAAGGGCGAAACCCAAGGTCACGAAGCGTGGAGCGAAGAGTGTCGTGCCACTCACGGGGCGACTGGCGGAGACCGTAGACAGGTCGCCTCAAGCTCAACTAGGTCCCAAGTGGGAGGAGTCAGTGAAGCCAGGAGGACGGCGCAGCCAGATCTCCTCGTGTAGGCGGCCCTGGAGAAACGCAGTAGAGAAGTCGAGGGAGTGTAGCTCGTAGTCTCGCTGTGCTGCTACGTGCAGTAACACCCGAAGAGTAGTCATCTTCGGGGTCGGAGCGAAGGTCTGGAAGAAGTCAACTCCCTCACGCTGACTGAAACCCCTAGCCACGTAGCGCGCCTTGAACACAGGTGGTCATCCAGGCGGCCGCTTCACCTTAAAGAGCCACATGCCATCGACAACGTTCGCCCTGGGTGGGGGAACTGCGTCGACGTAAGTGCCTCTGGATCTCTAAGACGCTAACTCTGAGTCCATAGCCGCTTTCCACTGAGAGGCCCACTCCCCTGACACTGCCTCACGGTAAGTGCGAGGATTCGATATGTCAAGGGCGTCGGGGTCTCCCTCAGGGGAAAGCAGCATGGCGCAGAGAGACGGGGAAGTGGCTGCCAAGAACTCCAGCTCAAACTGCCTGTCCTCTAGGACGTCACAGCCAAGGGCAGACTCACCCCCGACAGACAGAGGACAGGGAGGTGGAGCAGCCACCACACGCGTGGCGTATTCAAGACGGCGGGTGGAAGCAAGGTCAGTGACAGCGGCAGTAAGAGCCGAGACAGACGACGGAGAGGCACGAGGGTCAGTGACAAGAGAGGTGAGAACACGTGTGACAACAGGGCGAGCATCACGGTAGTAGTCAGTGATAGGGTGAGAGGAAACGGTGAGAGACGACTCAGGAGGTGAGGGGAGAACCGACACAGGCGGAGAATGACGAGGACTAGAAAGAAACAAGACAGCGCGGAGGTCGGCAAGAGGAGACGAGGGCCGAGCACGCGGAGGACAACGACTGGTCCAGTCGTGCGGGACAACAGGAGGAGACGCCTGTGAGTGAGGAGGAGAGAAAACAGCCGGAGTCGGGTCCGGAGGATGAAACGTAGGACCGTACGCGGTAGGAGACTGTGAGTGGACAGGAGGAGAGGAAGGAAGACCAAGGGCCCGAAGGCCACTCACTGGAGGCTGCTGCGGCGGCTGCTGCTGCTGCTGCTGCTGCTGCTGCTGCTGGTCCAACCGTTGCAGCTCCTAACTCTCCTGCTCCAACTGCTCCTGCTCCTCGCGCTCAAGCCGGCGAAGCGTCTGGAAACGAGTGTCGTAGCGGTGGGGAGGCGCAGTGGGCGCCGCAGTAGGTGTGCCTCCAGCTCCAGCCTCCTCAGTACTAGCTCCTACAGCGCCAGCACCTCTGGCTCCAGCACCCCCAGAACTAGCACCACCAGCGTGTTAGAAACTAAGGACGGAGTCTATGAAGATTAGGAGCCGAAATATCTCAAAATCGTTGGTCTATAACTCTGGACAGAAATGTCGACTTCACAAGAAACGTCGTCGACGAATAACGCACTGTTATAATTCTCTCACACTCGATTATGTTGTAGCCCTTGACCGTGGCTATCTTTCCCAATTTGAATCGTATCAAATGATGAAGTATATCTCGAGTTATGATTTTCGGCGCACTAGGGGGTAAGTTGCCATAGGAACTTAACTCAATCACAATTAACTCACAAGTTCAGACAAGAAAGTTGGAGTAGCTAGAAACCAGGTAGGAGGGGAAGAAGAGGACGAGAGGGAAGGTCCCCAGGGAGTCCCCAACCATGGAAACCCCATAAGCACATCAAATCCCCTCCTATAGGCACCCCAACTTTGACATTTGTCACTTTCCCAACCTCCACAATCCACCTCACCCAAGTTGGCCACACTTGCCAACCCAATTTGGTTTCTCCCAACCACTTGGCATCAATCCACAGTAGAGTGACGAATTTCTCAACCCCCAAATATCTATACCCCATATTGAGTCACTTCACAACTTCCCAAAGTCGTCGCATCCCAATCAAAACTTCGAACGATTATAACTTCGTCGTTCTTGTTCCGATCGCGACGATTCTTGGTTCGTCGGAAAGCTCTTGAGCAGAGGAGTCACTTCAGATATCTGCTCAAGCCAAATAACATTCACACATACTCAGAAAATCCAAACCACAGCAAATATAAATTCTTGCACACGCTCACACCACGCATGCAACGCACGAACATATGATGGGAGGCAGACAGACGTGAATGCAAATGATAGCATCACATAACACAGCGCCAGTACCTCCAGCTCCAGCACCCCCAAAACTAGCACCTCCAGTGTCAGCACCTCCTGCTCCAGCACCCCTAGAACTAGCACCTCTAGTGCCAGTACCTCCAGCTCCAGCACCCCCAGGACTAGCGCCACCAGCGCCAGCACCTCCAGCTCCAGCACCTCCAGCTCCAGCACCCCTCGAACGAGCGCCCCCAGACCGAGTACCGCCAGTGGCTGCACCTCCAGCTCCAACACCACCTGAGTCCACAGTAACCTATCGCGGAAGTGCCGAAGG